TTTCAAAAAAGAAAAAAAACAATTTATTCTTTAAAGGAACACATGGATATCTTGTTAGAGTCTTAGATACTAACTTGAAAGTATTTTGTCATTATTAAAGAAATATATAACTAAATGAATTATCCTCAAAAGAAATTTCAAGGGTACTTCCTTGACAATGTGAATATGATTTTCAGATGGTTCTGAACCAAATCAGAGTGTCCATATTTTAGTGGATTGTGATGCAGAATCTCAGAAAAATTTTCAATATCCTAAGCATGAAAAGCAATATATAGTAGAGTTTCATTTCTTAAATATATGCCAATGTAGGATAAAAGCATCTCTGAAATTTAATCCAGTCTCCAAACTTGACTTTAAGATACCATGAGGCAAGAGGGTTTTGTTTATCAAAGAGAACCTGGTATAGTGGCCAAAGTGTTCCAGGTAAGGTTACGTCCTATTATTTATTTTCCCCCTCAGGAAAAATTGTTAAGCTTCTAAAGCATAATTTTTTAACATTTCTAGAAACATTTGGAATAGATTCCTTCAATATATAAAATTATATGAAAGTACAATATCATAATAAACTTTCTAAAACAAATATTTGAGTTTCATGTTTTCAGTATTTAAGAAAGATATTTAGGATATTGCCAATTCTTGCATCTAGATGGGAAAGTTATACATGATTACTGTGTGTTTGGAGATATTTTGCTCAAATCAATTCAGATAAAGATAATAAAGTATATTGTCTCATTAAAGGAGTTGATACACTATTACTGTTTTTCTGTTGTAGGGTTCAAAGCTCTCTTAGTCAATGTAGTTAATTAGAGAGAAAGGTTTTTAAACAGAACAAAATTGAATTACTATCATTACACTACCCTGTTAAAATATTGGTGGCAGTCGACACGGTCACGGCAACTCGGAGTAGATACCTCCTTTTGAACCAGTTGTAAATGTACTACTGCCTTTGTGGGGGCAGTTTACATTACAGATACACACACCCACAAACACACCCGATGTATGGAAATGTATAAAAGCCGGTAGGTAGATCCTCTGTTTAGAGGGAACACCATGATGTTTCTGTCTTTCAGTTTATGATCTGCTTTTACAGAGGGAACAGAGAACAGGTGTTTCTGACTTCTCCAAGGGGTAATGGGCTTAAACTCCTGTATGCCAGCCTCGCCTTCGATATAAAGGAGCGTCCTGATGTGAGCCTCATTAAAATCTGGATGAGCTCTGGAGTAGGTCACTGATCTCAGCCCCTGAAGTGTTTCGCAGTAGAGGAGAGTCTCAGTCACCTAGGATGTTTGAAGGCTGTCCTTTCTTTCAGTTGCAGCAATAGATTAGATCACTTCACAAGCTGTATTTATTACTTTAGCTTCTGCGGTTTATCCTGCCATACAGTGTAAAGGGCATTTGCTTCCTGCTATGCAAGGAGCAGAATGTGGATATTCAAATTATTAAATTGTCATTGCAGTATATTACACCAAGTTGTGTTTTACCAGGCTATTATGATGTTATTATACATGATAGAAAGAGGAAATCAGAACTGATGATTTTACAATTGTTTTTGCAACACACATGTTAACAGCATTTCTTCTTAAGTCAAGAATGTTTAAAAGTTCCCTAATTTAATATCATACCTTATAAACTATAAAAGGCAATAACAGGATTCCACAATATGAGGAAAATATGCATTATAAAACTTTCATTAAAATTATATATGTTGGATATATATATACATATATGTAATATATGTGCCCTACACACACACACACACACACACACACACACGCTAAATTATAAGAAGGTAGGTATTTGAATATCTGTTTTCCATCGAGAGTGATTTTTCTCATCTGTATTTAAGTTAGTGAGATAAATATCTTATATGTAACATTTCTGTGACTCACTAGGAGAATAGACACAGTGACTGAATAAACAGAGGCGAAACGGACTCTGCAGGCTTTTTCCTATTACTTTGGATTTGACTGCAAAGAAAGTCTTTCAGCCACGTCAAGTGAACAGTTCCCCACATATGATGATGAATAGCTAGGGGAAAAAATGCATTTGTGAAATTCTCCAAGTATGCTTTTATAATTCCAAAACACACAGAATAGATCCGAAAGCAGAGAGATTCAGTGCATTTGACCCAGTCTCTCCAGCCTGAAATGCTTCAGCAAATGCGTAGTCAGAACAGTTACTACAGTGGAATAACTCTCGTCGGCCCTGCCTCTAAAATGTAATGACATTGATTTTTTAAAAATAATCTTTGTGTGCTATTTGTCCACTATAAACTCATACAGTCTCAAAATAATAATGATTACTCTATATTTTACACTCGCACCTTAAAAGCCTTGAAACAAAATGTTTGTGACTACGACTTTAGTAATAATATAATATTTCATTTTCTCCACTTGGTCTGCCTGGGCTTCCCATTTGGCAGATCAGCTTCTGTGGTGGAGGAATCACCCTCCCATTCTAATTTGTGCTGACCTTCAAGCTCGGCTCTTATACCTGTCCTATTTAGATTTGCATTCCTGAATTAACAGAGAGGTTGGAGGAGGTCAGTTGAATAAAAGGTGATTATATTATTCAGACAACTACTGGAATAGGTGCACTTTTAATAAAAGTGGCAGCACATAGTAACCCTAGCAGTAATGAGTATACGCCCTGTAAGCTCCTGTTTATATTTAAGATACTGAGTATGATGTGCTAAACTTCTGTGTTCTTATGAGTGTGAACCACTTAACACAATTTTTTTTTTGTATTCTAAGTCAAATGAACATATAATATGAATGCTAGTAGCTTTTCTCATAAGTAATCTTTTAACCTAATAAGAAATATTTTACAGATTTAAAGATGTGTTAGGTTGACTAATTTCTGCATTAAGACATAGCTTTTCAGTATATTCATTTTCTTCTTGAGTTCCTTTTTTCTTGAACTACTAGAATGATGTTTCCTATAAATTAGTATTTTTTTACATACCATTTAAAGAAAACACTTCAACCTGTAATTAATAACTCTAACTTAAGTTGAAAAGAGTAATATTCTTTGTAGGGTGATCATATTTTTTTAGTTATCCGGGAAAGCATAGGATTATATCTTGGGTAATTATTAGGAGTGCTCATTTTCATTCACACAACTGCTCAATTTGGAGTGTAAGTTATTTGGACACTGTAATTATTTGTTCCAATTTAATTTATAAACCCGAATGTCTATGGTGGCTTACTATTCTAATTTACTGAAGAATTTTACATTCTGATTGGTATAAACAAAATATATTTGAATCATTTATAATCAAGTTTATCATAAAACGGGATAGAATTCAAAGTCAAAGAAAAATAGGATTTGATTCTTTTAAAAGATTCTCTTTAAAAAGTTTCTATTTGCTAATAGAATATTCTCTATAGCAATATGACCAGGTAAGTTATAATAGCTACCACATGGTCCCATGTTGTAGCTAACTCATTTTACAATTCATATTATATGATATAAAACAAAATCTGTTTTGATTCTTTTCGATCCTGGTTACTATACAGTATCTGCATCTCTTCATTTGCACTTTAATTTCTGGCTATGCCGGTGACTGACCCCTACAATTTTAATGCTGTGATTCTGCTAAAAGGTGAACCAGTGAAGAAATGTTTGATGGTTTGGTCAGAAACACGGTTCGTGAGTAAAAATAAATGAGAAAAGCAGACAAAAACAAATCAGGAAAAAGATACAATTAGATATTCTACTTGAAATAAGTGGAAACACCCAAGGAGAGGAATTGCTCTGATCGGCATATTATTACATGTTTTTTTTTTTTAAAAGCCAGCCCTTCACCAGATTGAAACAATTCAGTTATGCTATGTAGTTTAGCTCCCAATTTTTAATGAGATACACACCTACGTGATTTTTATCACAACTGAACAATCTTGATTTTCAACACTTTTTTTAATGTTTTTATCGATTTGAGAGAGAGAGAGAGAAACATCGATGAGAAACACGTTGATTGTTTGCCTCCCACACAATCTGAACGAGGGTGGGGATTGAACCCGCAACCTAGGTATGTGCCCTTGACTGGAATTGAACCCTCTACCCTTTGGTCTGCAGGCCAATACTCTAACCACTGAGCAAACTAGCCAGGGCAATTTTCAACATATTTTTATATACATCTATTATGTGCCCGATACCTACCTAAGGGATGCAAGTTTCTGTTCCCACTGTGCTCATGGTCAAATATTACAGACATTATGGATAGATGAAAAGAAATAGCCTTTATCATCATAAATGTATACAATATTTAAAAGCATCAAATATGAATGATTGAGTCTGGACATAATTTAATACATTTTTAAGACTAGACCAAATTTGATAGTATATTTTCCTCTCCTTTGCCTTTACCCTCATTATGAGAATACTGATTTCTCTCAGGGAATTAATTTATGTATTTAAAAAAATTGTAGACCATAAAATGGTTTAGTTTTCATATAATTTAAAAAGTGAGATACAATAAATCCAGTAACTATGAATCATTCTTCTTTAACTACATAAACACTTTCTGGTACAGTATTTTCTATTATATGTTGATTTACTATATATAATTTAGAGTTTATTAAATTAAATATATAACAAGTTGTTTATAGATATTCTAAAGACTTGTTCTAGAAAGTGAGAGCTGCACATTTTTTAATGCCCTGATTGTGTGTGAAAAGAGAAGTAGGGACTGGCTTAAACATAATTTTTAAAAATTGAGCTCACAGAATTGTTGATTGGTATATGAAGGGTACATTTCCCATGCAAAACTGATTTGCAAACATGTCAAAACTGTCATCTTCAGAAAGCCCAACAACAGAATGACCGTGACCATTAGAAACCAAGGTAACACTCACTGAACTATTTGGACACTACAGGGGTCTCTGATGGGGGGTAAAACGCGTTTCCATTGTTGTTGCATCTGTTACAATTATGTTCAATTTTAAACACCAAAAACCAGACTCATTTTCTTAGAGCATTTTTTTTTTTCTTTTTCGCAGCACGGAAAAGGATATGCTAGTCAATTCTACAGGACTTCCCCGAAGCAGCATGATTTGCACAAAGTCGACCAACAAAAGCATCAACTTTTCAACTTCATTATCTTGGCCATCCAGTTAGTTGTGTGTAACTGAGTATCAGATTGCCTCTGCAGTCATCACGGCCAAGTTAGGACCTACTTGCTCTCAGCAGGTCTGAGAAATGAGTTGAAATGTGCAGAACTGTAGAAACTTTAGGCAACTGATTTTGCCTCTTCGATCAGTGTGTGCCTGTTTACAGCACTATATATCTTACTCTTTCCAAATGTCACTGAGCCCTTTAGATGTTTATATTCACCACGAGAAGCCAGTCATAAGGATAAAGAAAATCTGTGCATTATAAATGCAATATCACTGTTTTAAACTTGACTGTTTTATATTATTTTTGTGTGATCAAGTGTTCCCCAAACTATTCCAACTTTACAAGAAAGATTGTGATTATGTTCTTTTCACCTGTGGGTTATAAAAAAAAAAAAATGTTGTATTCTGACGACCCACAAAATATCAAAGACATTCTGTAGTTTATACACCGTGTTGCAAAGTGTTTACTGTACTATTTCAAAGCTTCTAAATAAATATAAAATATATATATTATATTATATAATTTTCCTAAAATGTGGTACAACTCAGTTGGTTTTTAAATGGATTCATACAGTCCACATCATACAATAAAGTAAAAGGTAATTCAGGGTCCCAAAGATAAACTTACTAAGAAAAAAAATAAGCATTAATTGTTTCCTCCCAGTTTTCATATCTTAGTCAACCCTGTTTTTCCTTGTTTAAAAGAAAATGAAGCTCTAAGCTACAAAATTTTGTCAAGAACTTGTACTGAATTTTCAATGCCAAAGATCTAGCTGTCGATTTATCCGAGCACTGAACATGTACTATCAAAATACCTAACAATCTACATTATTTCGATTCTATTTCTATGGCTTTGAATTGAGGATCATTTAAAGCTTTTATAAAGAATCTATTCAGTCATCTGTACTTGTTGTTAGAAAAACAAACACTGGGTGTCGGTACATTTTGTGGTGTAAAATATGTAATTGAAGATTACTATTTTAAGAAGTCCTCAATCATATAACTCAGAATTTTATTTTACATAGTTTTGCATAGTTTTGTGACTTCGAATAACACATGCATATAAAATCTATTTATAACTCTATGAATATAGAGAGATATATAAATCTCTGAACTGGTAATGAATAAGTATAAGATATAAAGAATCTCTAAATTTAAAACAAATCTAATAAATTTGGAGATAGAAACATGGTACATTCTTGTTTCAGTATTACCTTATGTGTGAAAGTTTTATAGCTTAAATGTAGTCAGTGCTGTATTAATGAGGAAATTCTACATGAGTCAGCCTTGAAAACTGAAGCTTTTCTTTTACTTTATGTCAACAGGTTAATGACTAAATTCTGTAGGATGCCTTTTTTCCTTTTATATATATATCACTTTTTTCTACTGCTGTTTATTGCTTTTTGAAATACAGTTAAGAGAGAAAAATCAGAGAATGTGACATAATCTTCTAAACAAAAAATCGAATTGTCACAGATTTCCATTTAAGAAACCTCCCACAGTACAACTAAAGCTTTGCCCAATCCAAATTACAGACCTACTTTAAAACATTTCCCTTAATTTTTAACTGATATTATTTTCAATGATAGTTTGAGCTTTGCTATGCTATTAAAGTACAGGCTAAAAACACATAACAAATGTTTTCCACCTAACTTTATGTCATTGAAATGGGACTATTTTCCTTAGATTTAGCATTAAAATGCATACATATGTTCATTAGTCCTTGATGTGTATCTTTGAGTGATATCGTGGTATCTATTTGACTGTTATCGAATTAGATAGTTATATCATAATCACAATCAGTTTCTATAACAAAGTAATGTGTATAATGTTCCAGTCTTTTGGGGACCCTTGAAAAATATATCAATTTATTTCATCAACTATGACACAAAAAGCACACACATGCACTAAGTGCAGCCGTAACCATTTCTCAAACTCTTGGCATTACTACATTAATATTTTGGATGATGGACTATTTTAGTAAGAAAATGTTTCTATATAATTTAACTAGAAAATGTGTGTTTGTTGTAATTGCTTTTTAAAGAAGAAAATGATTTTCTTGTCGCATCACACTGCTTTAATTAAACCCTTTCATTCATCATTTTACAATCGTGGGGGAGACCCACATCCATCTGCCTTATTATGTGCATTGAAAATAAGGTTGTACTCACTTTATATATAACAGCTATATGAATTCATTTGACATAAAAAATTTTCTTTAATTATTTAGCCCTTTATATCATTGTATATAATCTCCCTTCTTAGATCATATATTTGTGTATTCGTTTTTTAATGTTTTGTAGTAACCAGTTATACTAATTTGCATTTTTAGCTCCTAAATTTTATTATCAATCTGCAGAAACAAAAATCAACAAAACTTTTACCTAAGTAGTGGGACAAACAGAATTATTTAAACATGAAATACTAAACAATTAGTTTTTTAAACAACGACTACATCCAGAATAAATCAGAAGCTACAGCAGAATAAGGGTATGACTTTAGTACATTGGCTAAAATGTTATATATTAATAAATTAATTAAATAGAAAATGCCGCCAACCAATAATTGAAGGTTTCCAAATAAACATTTATTAGATTCATATACAAAGAATTGTAGAATAGTTTTTCTATTTACTCTAGTCATCCTAGCGTCCAATTTTCACAGTTTTATATATATATATAAATCAAAGAAATAATATTCAAATTATAAGACAGTATTTCATCAATAAATTACCTGAGAAAAGAATAATCATGATATTTACTCCTTGTTAACATAGTTTTAGAGTAGTAAACAGTCAAAATATTTTCCTGTGGAAACAGTGTCTTAATGTTTCGAAGGTATGTCAAATGACAATTTTTAGAAATATTTCAGCCACATGTAAAATTCTAATTTTTAACTGTGAATATGATTATGTGAACTCATTTTAAGTCAAATATTTAAATATTGCAACAAAATTACTTTACAGATATAGTGATACCTGTTTCATTATAAGTGAATCACCTTTTGGGGACAGTATTAAGAAAATATATGTATTTTATTTTATGAAGATATTAAATGCAATGCCTTTATCAAACATTGCAAATTAAGTAATATAGGAGACGTAGATGTCATTTGCTTGTTTCATTTCTTAATAGTGTATAATTTGCTGTGAGATCTTTCATCATGGAGATGCTTTTCTGCTTCTCCAATAAGAGGATAAAAAACCATCCTCCCCATTCTCAACATAAACTTTGATAACTGCGCATTATATTGAGTCATTTTACCTTCCACAAGTTACTTACTGGAGTAAAGTTCATTCTCAATACAATTACTCGGTCAAAATGTTGCAAATATTAATCAGGATAAAAAAAATCATTCAAGTTACTGACTGAAAATAACACTGTCATTTGTCATTGCACGTGGTGTTCTCCTACCCCCACCCCCATTTCTATATGTGCTTTTAATACCCAAGGAACGAAAAACTACTTACAACATTGGTATACTTGATAATTTTTTCTGAAAATCATATTTTTCATATTGCAATTTCTTGGGTTCTTTACCCTTTTCAACTCTAATTTTGTAGTAGTAAAGGCTTTGCACTTAACATCCTTTTTACGTTCTTTTTTTATCAGGGAAAAACAGAAAATGACAAAATTCCGTATTTTTTATGCCATAGAGTAGCAGAATTATTTTATATATCGTTAGCACTTCAAGGACCATCCCTCTGCCGAGTCAAACAAAACCCTTCTACAGTAACCTGTGAAACTACTGTTCAGTAGAATATTCTTTTCTTTCTGAAGCTTGGGGTCCGTTTTAGACAATAGCGTTCTGTGGGAAGACAGGTAGATGGCTGCCGTCAGAGTATTGCAGGCAATAATATGATGGAATTTAATACCTTCCGTGTGCATGCTTGTATTTCTAATCATTGTCAATTTTCAGTATTTGTAAAGTTAGAAAACTGGCTTTTATTTCTTGAAAACTTGTCACATCCGTAGTTTGAAGTTTTACACTCCAGATGTTTTTGAGTTACGTGAAAATATTGCATTGATGATGCAATTTTTTAAAGAAAATTTTCACACGAGACTCAAAAGCTTCTAAATGCTAGAACTCAAACTTCCAATTCATCCATACATCCTTGAGCTGAAAGTAAGCAGGGAATTTCTGCGCGAAACACATTTTTGAGACAGTTATCTGTGAGTGAAAACAGGGTATTACAACAAAAGATAAGTTTAAATCTTAACTATAGTGTTTGTTACTGTGAATGCTATAATAATACATAAGTAAAATGAGTGTAAATGTAATATATTATTTTATACTGCTGTATACATATGAAATAAATAAAACTAGGATACATATTATGCCATTTTTCCATGCATGGATCTTCCACTGACGTCGGTGGGATCTTTGAATAAAAATCAGTGGCAAAATATGGCCAAAAGTGTAAAAACAACTTGCTGATTTAGTAATTCTAGTTTTAATAAAACAGGTCTAGGGGGACAGCTGTTCAAAACTGAAGCAGCATATGCTAGGTTTAAAGGATTTCACTATATTTATAGTTTTGAAAGTATGCATTTAGTCCCATATGGTTCTCATGATACCCACAATGAATATTTTAAACATACATGTTGCACTTGATGTTTTATTTTCTTCTTAACTCTTTTGACTTGTAGTAATGCGAAGGCTCTGCAAGGGTTGAGACAGAGGTTGCACCTAGAATATGAGTGCCTTCAAGCATTAATAGAAAGTAATTTCATGTAAAATTTTAGAAACAAATTAGTTCATACTTAGTTGATGGAAACATAAGAAAAAATAAAATTTATATGGGTATCATTTTCCAATAAAAATATAAATTAAGTATAGATTTTTTAATAATGTAAAATGTAACAATGATCTAAATGAATTTATATTAATTTACATTCTGAAATAGCTGAAGGGTGGCGGAAGGAATGTCGTGCTTCTTAATCACGTGTGGTTTGTAAAATTGATTTTCTTAAGTTCAAAGTACACATATCTAGATAGGGGTTAATTTTCTGAAGCAACAAGAGAGAGGACCAGGTATTTCTCTTGCTTTGAACATCTAATAAAGCCAACATTATGGTGGAAAAAATGATGTAAACTATTCAGGAATGGTAGTTCTCAATGAAACCCTAATAGTCATAGTTTCAAGTTGCTTCGGTTCTTCTGTTGATCTGTGTCTCTGGTCCCTTACATTGACCATTTTGGGGGACCATGTCATGAACTCTTCTAATTAACCAAGATTATGAATTTTCAGAGGTAAAATTTATCAGATTATGAATGTATTCAAGTCAGACAATGAGGGGATGCAACAATGCATGGCAATATCTTCCTTCAAGAAAATTCTAGTTTGCTTTGGGAACCAATAAAATTATAGAAAAAAATATTAAACAATCAAATGATCAAATAATTAACTGATCAAAATTTGTGGAGTCATGAGAGGAAATTAGTATATTAAGAAAATAACATAAAAGGATGTAAATAAAGTAGAAAAGTATTAAAATCTCATTTATAGTAAAAAGCAAATAGTTCTTTGTGAAGTATTTTTTCAGATTCATGTGTGAAATAGGTCACAACATGAAATACATTTTGTACTGTGAATTATTTCCTCAAATTTTTGAAAAGCACAGTACCATATGATTTCTATTTCAAATTTAAACTTATTTAATACTGTGGAAGGACAAGAACGATCTTTTCCAAAAGTCATTTCTCATCTGAATCTGAATCTTTACTTTTGTAAACTATGGAGAAGTACACTTAGGTGTAGAATTTTCGTGAGAATTAGGTGAACTGGTTCATGTACAATGTGTCACACAAAGCCAACACACAATATACAATATGTGGAGTATATGATTAATATTCTTTGCTATGACTTTACTACTATTCTTCATTATTAAAAGTAGGCAGAACAGTCTACAAATAGAAAATATTATTTTTCCAAATTGCAGGCTGCTTTAGAGTTGTATTTATGCAGTGCTGATTTGAAAACCACAGACCTGACTTTGGTATTTACCCATCAGCTCGGTTCACCTTTGCCTCTCTATTTGTTGGTGGTGTGGAGTCCAGGAAATAAAACTCGCAATTACTGAGTTTTAGTCATCTCCCTCAACTACCCTCTTTTCCTACTGTTAAAAAATATACATGTATGATCACACAAGGATATGTTTATCTGATTTTTCCCTTGAGCCCAATGTGCTTTCTGAACATTTTATTCCCATACAAATAGTTTGTTGAAATTACTGCATATTTGACAGAATCATGTTTTTGCATATGACATTATATTATAAAATTGAATTTGGGCAGTAGTCTGTATCTGCTCAGTAGAACTGAATTTTTTAAATGGTTCTAATTATAGAA